CCAAGTGAAGTCCAAATCTCCAGGGTGAAGTTGGGAGGTGAACACAAGCAGAAACCGAGCCTCGGAAGATGATCCCACTGATCGAAGCTGCTGTGGGTTGTGCTTCATGAATTGCTATGGATGATCAGCACAAGCAGCGTGATTTCGAACCCTTGACAGGAGATGAGATGACAAACCTTCAGGCACCCGGAACCTGTGCTTCGAAAGACGAAGGAAGGAACTTGGGAACATCACATCCTCGTGGCTAGGAAGTCGCACAGCTCGGTGCTCGGAAGTTGCCCAGCTACCTTGTTCAGTCCAATCTGATCAGCCTTAGGACTTTTCTGAAGCAGTTTAATTTTTACCAAAGCATCACGCTGACTTCAACCCAAGTCAGGCTATAGTTTATTAGCACCTCTACTGTATAGTTTATGAGTCAATGTTCAAATGTACTACAGTATAATTAATACAAGCATCATGCTCACACTCCGATGTTTGTTCAATTGGAGAAACCAAAGAGACCTGGCAAAACGATCACCCGCTTCTTCCTGCCCCCTCCCTCACCATCCTCACCCCACCTAACCCCCGCATTCCACGAAACCACCAGAACCCCCCCGGCCTCACCCGGCTTGCGCCGCACGGAGGCCGTCGTCGCTGGCGCCTCGGGCAGCTGACCGTGGAGGTCCTCGCGGACGCGGAGCACCGCGTTGCACTTCAAGCAATGCGCCTCGGAGCGCTCCGCTGGCGGAGCTGGCGGAGCACGGTGAGACGAGAACGATGAGACATGGACGGCAGGTTTGGAGGGTTTGGAGAAGTGGATGGAGCCGTAGGATGCATCTTTTTCCAGGGTCACTCTTCTTTTCATCCAAAAAAATATCATTGTCCATCATCGTCTTCACACTTTCCGTGTCGCCACGCGCCTGGTCGTTCAACCACTGTGGCACTGAGCTATATCCGCAAACCTGGCATTCCATCTTCACCCGCTCCGCTGCTGCAGTCTCCAGTCCATCAGGCAGCTCCAGTCCACCAGGCAGCTCCGTTGCCTCCACCAGCTGAGGCTCCGCCGCGCTCAGCTCAGCTCGAGCGCTCAGCGCGCTCAGCTCGGCGCGGCCGCACTTGGTGCACTTGGCGAACTTGAACATGCCTCAAGAAGCGCTCGGGAAGTGCGGCCGCACTTTCAGAATACGGCAGGTCGACGGTTCAATCCCTGGCATTTCAGCTTGGGGGGGGCCAATCATATAGCTCACCTTGCGCTGGGCAGGAATGGAGACTCTATCTCAAAGAAAGTCAAAATTCGTTTGCAGTACTTTCCTGGTTGCTTGAAGCCGAGGCTTCTTGAAAATCGAGTGTAAAGGTTCAGCAAGAGAGGAGATGATGTTTCTTGTATAAAACAAGACCTCTGCCTCACTCAAATGCAGTGATTGTGAATTGTGAATGGTTGCGATTCGTTGTTTTGCGGGGGCCTCTGGACCCCCTCATCCGAGTAGTCATTTCTGGCTCCAGGTGCCTAGTGCTCAACATCTGCCACCTTTTGCATGGGGAAAAAAGAACGAGATCCAAACTCTCGCCAAGCGTCACTTCCCGCCCTGAGCACACTCGGCAGCACCACCCGGGTTCGCAGTCACACCAGGACCCTTGGCCAGCTTCCCTTCGGCCAGTTGGCAGTAGTTGCACTTCCTCATGCGCATTTGTAGGAAAACCGGTTTCGCTCTCAGACTTCCTGGCCTTTTTGTGTTGGGTGCCTCTTCTTTTGGCACCAGGTTGCCCAAGGGTCTGAAGAGTATGTATGGGTGTCTGAGTCTGTGCAGCAAAAAGGGGCTTGTTCAGAGCATCGCTTCTTTGGGTGGAACTAGACCTTGCTTTGACACATGAAAGCTGGAGGGCTGTGTCCGCACTGACAGCGCCAACTCCAAAACATCTTTGACATCGAATTTCCGTGGAGCGAATGTCCGGACGACTTCCCTACTGCCGGCCTCGCCAAAAACACCTTCTGCAGCTTGGCTGGACAAGAACAACATGACTAACTTGGCTTCGTGCATGATATGGATTTAGCCTCATTCGCCGATATGATATGGATATGATATGATACATCTGATACAGTTCGCCTCGGTTCCTTCGCCGCGCGTCTCGTACTTCCAGTGATGCACGCCATCGGGCGCTTTGCCGCAGCGGCCACCAGTGGACTCCATCGCGCTGCCAGGCGACTGTTTGTAGGTGCTCACCTGCCGCGCGCACGCGCAAGCGCGTGCGCGCGACCGAGTTCGGTCGCGTTCGGTTCGCGGGTGCCGCGGAAGAAGCGGAAGGATGTTCGGGCAAAGGACGACGGTTCGGGGGTGGCGCGACCCATCCCCACCGAACAACCTGCAACTGCACCAAAAAACGTGGTCAAACACCGAGGCGCCGGGATGGTGCAGGTGGTCAACGCACACTCGTTCCAACGCGCGAGATCTCGCGCTTCTTTTTCTGGTTCACGAAAGAAGGCATTCTCTGTCTCTTAGCACGCTGATGACTGATGGCTTTTGGGGTTCCAACCCAAAGACGCTCCATTTATATATAGCCCTTTCCCAATTCCTCGAAAGCTAGAATTGGAAATCCCAAACGCGAGGATTCGGGTCCAGGCTTCCGGGCCACTCCGCCCATGCGCCGCCCGTCCACGTCGCGCCCGCCGAACGGCGACCGCCGGGCCTCCCCCGGAGCCCGTCGCCCATCGTCCACGGTGGTGGGCCCCACGACGAAGGCCTCCCGAGGGGCCTTAGGGCATCGAGGATGCATGGAGTCGGAGAGCTTCAAAAGAGGAAAACGGTTACAATCAACAGTTCTCAGAGACGGACGCTCCATGGGACTGCCATAGATGCCCATCAGATGGGGTGGTGCCAGGGGGGTCAATGTAGGCAGTCCCATGGAGTGGGGTTTATACCAGGACCCTGCGACTGAAAAAAGTCTCCATTTCAGCCACCATGTCGGAGAGCTATTGGAAGGTCCTGGTATAGAATATGGGAAATAACTGACTGTTTGGGGGGGCACAATAGAGGTGTTCTTTCCCAAAAGTCCGGAAAGTTGTGCAATGAAGTGACAAGAAAGACTCAGACATACTCGGACATGTGTTGAATTTCTGTTGTGCCAGTAATTACCCTCCAACAGGTCCTTGGTTGACCGGGGTTGTTGGGTCCCAACGGGTCCCGATTGGTGACTAGTCGCATGGTCCTAGTGTAACTCTGAGCTGGATCGACGGTTTCAGGGGAACACGCTCCGAGGCGTTCCGGGCCAGGGAGCCCGGGCGCGTGTGAGTGGAAGTAAAATCTTAAAAGCCCACCTCGTTGGGTCTGCGGATTTCATAGGGTCATCGGCGAAGTCGGTGGGCGTCGTCCATCCACGTTGGCCCGTTTTCGGTGACTTGGGAATGATAGAATACGCCGCGTGGCGGCCAACCAGCTCGGATACCTACGAGTTGAGTGAACCTCATGTTCTGGACCATTCGACTCAACAGGTCAACCACCTGAAAGTCTGAAGTCTTCAGTGTGAGAGACCTGTTGGAGGCTGCTGGATACACCCAAAATCTAAAAAAGATACATCATGATCAGCCAAATAACAGCACCCTCCAACAAGTGTTTCCTGGTGACAACAGGTGCCCAGAAACCACTTGTTAGGGCTCCAAAACATCCTGTTGGAGGGTCCCGGTATGTAGGTCTAGCATTGTACCTTCCCTATTTTTGGTGGACAAGTTCTCCTACAGCTCATCAAGTTGCGTCTATTGCTTCCAAGCGTCACCTGCATAGCCACGCGTGCGTAGTACCGTCTGGCACTTCAGGCAGTGGGCTTTGTCGTTCAGCCACTGGGGGAAACACTTGTAGCCACACTTCCTCATACAAGCGTCACGGTTGTCGATGGTGGTGAAACACCAAGAACGGAAGAACAACAGCAACAACAACAAAACCTTCCAGAAGTTCCAAGGAGGTGGTATGGAGGTGGTATATTATAGTCCTCTGGACCTGACTCTACAGGTCACCAATGGTTCGACCTCGTTGACCAGGGTCCTTCCCAACCCTCAACTAACAGCCTGGCCAGGAGGGTGCTGGTCCGCAGATTGCTATTTTTCATGAAACAGAGATGAACAAAGACCTGTACTGCACCTGCTGTACTGCACTTGGAATCCCAAGAAAACCCAAGGGTGGCTTCCGGCATGTTCCTTCACCAAAACCGCACAGGGTGGAGAGTTGAAGGTCTCGTTCGTCACAGTGAAGCAAACCAGTTCAATCCGTTTCACCCAAGTTCCGTTCAATCCCTAAGCCAGCAAGTGTCTCGCACATCATCTTCACGCGATCCTCCGCCATGGCTCTCCTCCTTTTCTCCCCCGGTCCGGGCACTCTGGCCCCAGGCTGGAGGACGCGGACGGACGCGGACGATGGACGTGTTCCACCCCAGGGCGGCGGCTCCGGCTCCGAGCCCGCCCAAATGGCTGCAGGGAGATCGGTGTTGAGAGGCGATGTCTGGGCCATTCCTGGGTCGCCAGCGGGGGAGGGAAGGGTGGGGAAGAAAAATCCGGTGAAGGCAAGAATCCCAGGCTCCTACCAGCACCCCCTGGCCACCTGTTGGGGTCTCCAAACAGCCTGTTGGAAGGTCCTGGTAGAAGATGTATGAACCCAAGAGATTGTGTAGAATGTATATAGAAGACGTTCTCTTGTGGGTGTCGGATGTTGGCTCTCTCCCACGTGACCGGGTCTGCCAGGATGTATGCACCGCACCAAGGTGTGCTTGAAAAATGCACCTGTGTATCTCAGTACCCACATACTCCTGCTACAAGTAACTTTCGGACCAATCGACCCCACTCGCAACAGAGTGAAAGTTCCTCGCAAACTATAGATCCCCTTTCTGCCTCACGGGCTGGGTTTTCTAGGTTGCCATGAGGAACCCTTCCGCATCGGTCATTCCGAACTCCTTGCCACGAGAACCAGCCTGGACTCCACACCCGGCTCCCACTGCTCCACCAGCTCTGTGCAGCCCGGGTGGACTCGCCCCTGTGCCTCACCCACGGTGTCCCGCAGCGCGCGGAAGGCCGTCTCGGCATCCTGTTTACCCGCGGATAGCCGCGGAATAGGAGCGGGAGCCTCCGAACCTGAAGGACCTTCAACTCAACATGTTTTCGGAGCATACTTGACCATTCAAACATGTGATCCAACATTCCTATCAAAGGTCAAAAGCTTGGTCCAAACCCATGTCAAAAACGGAGTTCCATTCGATCGAAATCGGAGAAACCCGTTCCCTAACTGCACCCCTCCTCCTGTGTTTGTTTGGGCCGAGCGAGAAAACCCGATCGAAGGGTGCCCAGTTCCAAGGGGTGTCCGGTTCCAAGGCACTGTGAAGCCGAGAAGGTCAGAAGGACCTTGAAAAATGGGAAGGACCTGGTTTTGTACTGTGAATTCCCCTTAAGTAAGACTTATATATATAATTATATATATATATATATGCTTTTTTCAATCACTGGTGATTGGAATTCTAGGGTGTGTGGTCATTGTCTATAGATTCAAGGACCATTGAAGGAATGGTTGGCCTCTTTTTGCATTGTAGTCTCAAATCCTTAGTAAAAGCCATTAAGACTACCATCAAAACAATGGTTGGAATCGCAGGGCATTAGCCGAGTGCCTGGGAAAACTTTGTGACTTTGTGGGGCGAGAAGCGGCTGTTCGGGGCAGCTCCCTCGCTCAGCTGGTCCTGTGAGGTCTGTAGGGTCTGTGCTACCGGTACCGTTTTTTCGTACTCCAACGACGTTCCATCCGATTGGCTTTGGAGGGTCGGAAGGCTCCGCGGTTGCCGATGTCATGTCTGGTCCATGACCGATGTGATGAACATGTCAACAACTAGGCGTAGAGCTTTGCGAGACTTGAGATCTTCACTGGTCTGTGCCAGTTGAAGTTGCCCAACTTCTCACAATCAGAAGAACACCAAAAACGGGGTCCAAACAGGCCAAAGTACCCCGGCAAGACAGTCCATCGGTACCACAACCCACCCCTTGCTTCTCGACGCAAAAAGGCCTTTTTGGGGGGGGCCATCTCCCTCACCCACCCATAAAACTGGCGTTTGATGGCTACATTGGTTCAAAAAGATGTGTTTTGGGTATAAGGACGGAAAAACCCACCTACTCATCTTTTTCGAATCAGTTCTGCCAGTCCCATGGAAGCGTCGTGCCGCAGAATGGGTGCCTGAGCAGCCTTCAGGGCATCCTCGAAGTTGCGGTTCATCAAATTCGCCTTGGTCAACCGCGACTGGCGTGTGGCCCAGGTCAAGGAACGTGGAGACCCGGCAGTTGAAGGTTGAAGCGTTTGATACGCGGAAGATGTAGATGGGTCGAATTCCGGCGAAAGGAAGAAGTGAAAGGGTACGTCTAAGACTATACCATGAGACAGCCGGCCCAAAGAGAATACCAATACCAAAAACCAGTCCAATCGACTTCTGGTTGAGCAAAGACCCCCTATTTAGTCAGTCAGGTGGCCAGAGTCGTCGCACCCCTGGAAGCAGCAGGGGGTTGTAGATACTAAATACTTGTACGTCGACATCAGTTGCCTACACCCTAGGCTTCCAGGCCCACCCTTGATTTCATAGCCTGAATCCCGAACCAGCAGCATTGTTTGACTAAGGATGTTAACACAGTTTACACTACAAAACCAGCTAGTTCCCACTTTTTGTCAGGGTCTTCACGGTTTCGGCATGTTCGTGGGAGAGGTCCACTCCCTTACGGGGTTCTTGACCCCGGGGGAACTGACTGGGAGAGACGACCGGGAGACCTACCAGGTGCCATGGTGACACAGCTCGCGTGCCAATCACCGGGCAAGCGGCATTTGCCAGGATGTGCATGCTGATGGCTGCTTGTTGCTTCTCACCCAGCTCCTGCCACGCCAATTGGTGCTCCCACTGAAGAAGGGCAGGTGCCATACCCAGTTCTGAGCCGTGGGACCCGGGTCTTGGAGGGTGGCCATACCTGGATCTTCAGCTGCCATTCATCTCTCAAACCACCCAAGTTCAGCAGAGATTCGTGACAGGAAGATCCAGGTCTTCAGGATCGATGAACACTCACAGGACCAGTCACTTACATGGACGTGGAGAGTTTCAACTTTCAACCACCGGTCGCCTGGTTGGGTCTTCGGATTTCATCCTCCGAGTCGCAATTCAGGGCCAATTTCCCATCCACGTTGGCCCATGATGAATTTCAAGTGTGATCTTCATGCAATGGTGTCCGTCCAACCCCCCTACTCTCACTAAGGGGTCTCCGAAGAGCTGCACACCGTTTGAAGACCAGGCGTTTCTTTACAAACGTGTGTGATCATTTCACGTTCGTTCGCACGTGCCTCATGAGGACAAGGTTCATAAAGCCATTGAATTGAGTATATATAGGCTACTATAGATAGTTCCTTTCTCGACTAGGTAGTGTTACTCATTCCCATCGGAGACTATAGATGGTGTTGCTTTTCCGTGGTGATCTGATACTATAGACCCTATAGAATTCCACGGGAAACATATGGATTCCACGGATGTTTTCAGTAACTCCTTTTTTGGGTCGCCCAGAAAAAAAAAAAACAGTTGTTGATATGACCCAGACGCGAAGTCTCGACCCTCCGTTCAGGTGGGGGACACGAATCCTCGGGTCAGGGGTGTTTGGACCTGGACCAATCCCTATGGTTTTTGAGGGCCCAGTCGGACGGGTTTCATGGAGCCTCTGGGTATAAAGATGGACTCCCAGGGATTGGAGCTTGGGAGGTGGCACCCGCCACGGCTTGGCTTCTTGTACCAGGTGTCCTGGTAGAGCTGAACCGCCTCCTGTGACGCCTTCAGAGCTTCCTGGAAAAAACGTCGTCGCGACGATCTCCCAGAGGTCAGGAACGGAGCTCTTACTGAAGCTGATCATACGTCGAAACACTGCTCCCAGGACCATCCAAGGGGTGTCCAATGGACTACCCTACACTACCCATAGGCTTCCATTGGGCACCCCTTGGATGGTCCAGGTCTGTTGTTTCGGTTTTCAGGACCAGGTCACTGGGTGAGACCAGACCTCTAGGGATGGCGAAAGGCGGCGATAGAGGCGGTGAAGAACGCGCCGCCAGAATGGACTGGGAGGAATTGGATTACAAGGAAGAAAGAATGGTTTCGATCAGCATTTCTGCTGTGGCTCGGGGTTCCAACTCTGGTCTTGGACCCACATGAGTTTAAGTGAGGAGAACGAGTGGATGGGAATCGTAAAACCTACCACTCCGTCTTGGTGAGGTCTGTCACCAAGTGGGCAGCTTAGGTCTTTTCAGGGGAAGCCACCATTGTTCGCTTCATTATGTGACCAATCTCAAGAAAAGAATCGTATACTGCAACGGTATACCGACCCAGGCGGTCCCCTCACATCGTCTTTGAGGCCAAAGCCCTAGGGATCCACTGCCACCCTCTGAGGTACCGTAATTGGAGGCACTCTTATGTAGGTGCCAGGAGGATCCGGTCGCACCGAACCTGAGAATGCACGACCGGATCCCTAGAGAAGGTCAATTAATCCTGGGCCTTGCAATTCTCTCATCAAAATATGGGCGTTTCGCCGATGAAAGGTCGCTGCGGAGTCTTCGAGTCCAAATCCAAAAGGCAGTCTTCTCATGGAGCTCAGCTGGCCCCTCTTTATGCGTCTATGGCCTTGCCAACCTTGGAGGAACGTATCCATCAGAATCCATCCGCTCACCCCTGACTCCGTAAGACCCATTAAAAGAACTCGGTTGACTCGGTCGTGTAGTCTAAAAACCTCACAGCAAAACCATGGTTGTTCGGGATTCAGGTTGATACAGTCCCTAAGAATCAAGGACCCTCAGTTCGCTGAAGGTTTTGAGCATCCAAACCCCTGCTATGCAGGGTCAAAACCCTCCATAGGAGGGTCCAATGATGCTTATAGGGGTATATAATGGTGGGTCAGGAATCGTAGTGCCACCCTCCAAAGCCCTGGCCTGTGGGTTTCCCATGCCAATGGAGGCCAGCGCGAAGTGCACGTCTGCCACCAGCTGTGCTGCCTCTGCCCGGCCCTTCTTGTCACCCAGCTTCCTGCACGCGGCCCGAGGGGATGACATCGGCCCTGGTGCCAAGGTCCGCCCAACGGCGGCACCGAACAAGCATCTCCCAGTCCCAAATCCGAGCACCAATGGACTGGAGCTGCTCAATCTTCCTCTCTTTGGAGACCCTCCCTGCAGTTTTGGAACTGACGGTTTGGGTGCACCAGCAGCGTCCGTTCGCCACCCGGTCGCGGGCGGCAACGACTCAGTGAAGTAGACTTGTTGAAACGGTCCTGTAGGCGAGGGCACACTCCTCAGCCGCCCGTTGGGCTTGCTGGATATCACCTGACGGGTGCCAGAATGGCGACCAAGGGCTGTGGGGGCAGCTGGGTCGAACCCCATCGAGGCCGCTGGAGCGAAAGAAAGATCCTGTAAGAGCCACTCGTTGGAGTCTTTGTTCAAAGCCTTTCAGAGTGAATGAATGTCATTGTTGGTCTGGGCACATGAGAAAACCAAGCGGCTAATTGAGCCCAGTTGTATCATATATCAACTGAATCTCAATGCCTCTAGGGTGAAAAGGAGCCAAAATGTCAGGAAGTTGATGAAGAATGATGAAGAGTGGTTTCAAGTTTCAAGGCCAACTTGTCTGAGAACCTGACCACAATTGCACTCAGCCACATCTTCTGGAACTGAACTTTTCTCCGTGGCCAGCAAAACAAGCAAGCGAATCAGCACGGAACACATCTTCGCTCCTGTCCACATCCCCCCCCCAAAACCCCCAGCCAGAAGGATTTCCCCCACCACCCCCACCCCCCCAAGCCTTTGCTCAGATGGATCTTCGTGATCAGCAACCAAGCTTCGCCTTCACCACGCCGGTCACCTGGTTTCCACGTCCGCCACGTCCGCCGGGGCGGATCGGAAACGTCCCAACTCCGCCGTTCGGCCGAAGACGGTGCCGCGAAGACGGTGCGTTTCATCTGCTCGCATTAAGACTGGCTGAAGATCATGAACACAGCTGAACATGACATGGGCTGATAGGAGTATTGATTGGAGGGAACATATGGTATTTGATGGTACTTGACCCAAAGGATCCTGCAACATCAGTGGTTCATCATCCTTCAACTTCCGCCAGGAAAAGGCCACTGACTAAGCATTGTCCGTTGTCACCACGACCAAACAATGTGTTCCAGGCCAACGCTGGTTGGCGACCCTTCACCACTGCAGGCAAACAGCTCGGTGTGCCCTTTCCTTCCTGCCATTCTCTTCCAAGTTAGTTCCATGTTCCAGGGAAGCATCCCGGTCCAATCCCCTCCAGCCATTAGCTAATCCCGTTCTCTCCATCTATCTATCCAAGCCCAACGGCCCACCGTCCGTTCCTGTGGCTCCCGGGCCCACGGCCAGGAACAACGCGGGGCTCTGCACCAAGGCGTTGAGCGCATCCTCCGTCTCGCCGCGGAGCTGATGCAACTTCGCCTTCGTTTCGCCGGTGCGGAGGGCGGTTTTGGCTTGATTGGCCGCATGACTTGATGGAGCAATTGGATTCATTCTCATTGGACTCACAAGCCCCGCCCGTCCCCAACCCGACTCGCCCCAAGAAGTCACACCCGTTGCCAGCGGCTTGGTGATACAAGGGGAGACTTGGGAGACCCGCCGTGCCCTTAAAAGTGAGGTGTTTTGGAAGACCACCGTCACCGCGTCAGTTCCAGGCTTCTTCGACACTCTCGTCACCGTGATGTCGGAGTGAAGCTGAGGTGTCGGGCCATCATCAGCAAAGCGCTTCCTTCGCCCTTCTTCTCCTCACCGGAAGAAACGCGTCCGTTCTGATTTCACAAACATAACAAAGAGCCAAGAGCCACCATCGGTCTCTGAGCCACGTTTCCCTGGCCTTCCAAGACATGGCTGACCTGGCTTTTGCAAACAAATCAATGGTTGTTGGAATCCTAGGGGTTTGGCGAGGGTCCAGGTGTCTAGCATGTCTGGTGTCTGTTGTTGCACTGTCCCCTTTCTTCAAGGCTGGACGAGTGTCATCCAGGCTGCCCACGCGGCCGTTGGGACGCCAAAAGTGTGAGCCCGTGGAACTCGCAGTACTTCGTGGTACAACTAGGGGGGTTCCCTAAACACCGTCCTCCAAATTCTTTTTATGATCGAATCATTTCAATCCATCTGAGATGGTTTCGGCACAAAAATGACCAAGACGCCACATCCAGAGGAGCAAAGTGTCTTCTTCCACAATGGACATCTGGGTCCCACCTTGAAGCAGAGCTCTTTGGCTTGGTCTTGAGCCACCACCCACCCTACCCGCCCTCCCCGTCTTCCTCCCTCTCCAGCTCCTCGGCAACATGAGAACCTCCCTCTCCCCCTGCACCACCCCTCCCTTCCGGTCCTTCCCCAAACGGTGCCGCACGTCGAACGGACCACCGGCCGACGTGAAGAACCTGACGGTCCTTGAGGCCCTTGTAACGGCGCTGCTGTTCGCCCGCCAGGCGCATGCCTTCATCCAGCGAGCCCATCGCCGCCTGGGCATCCACCATCGCCTCCGCATCCGTGGCGAAGGCGCTGCGGAGCTTGCGAGCACTTGGCCCTCTTGGAATGGCGGGTGCAGGTCTGTCTCTATATAAAGCTTGCGAGCAGAGTACTATATATAAGTTAAAGGGCATTAAATCTTCCACGTTCCAACCACTTTGATGCTCTTCACATCTCTTTCGCGAGGTTGGAGAGTCTTCCCTTTTCTTGATGCGAAGTTCGCGGTCTTCTTTGGACGGCAAGGGTGGTCTACCACAAAAATGACCCTCCACCGTGCCTGCCCAGACAGTTCGACGCTGCCTACCCTGAGGCTACTGAAATCAAGAAGAATCACACCCTGATCCCATCATCATCCATCATCTCCAATCCCCACATAGCACCCCCAGCTCCCTTCTCCCCTCCAGCGCCACACGCGTGTGGCCGACGCGCTCTCCCGCTCGGCGTCCACACCTTTAAGCAAAGGATCTCAGCGTCTCGCGAGGCCCTCGAGGGGAAGGTCATGGTGCGGTAGAGGCCGAAGGCCTCCAAAACGGCACAAACCCGGCAGACTGGCGCAGACCGCGCCCCCCGGCGGAGGTCATGGTGCCGAGGTTTGGGTTCCTTTCTCGTGTCCAGCCAGGGGGTCTTGCTTTGGGGTTCTTCGAAGCGGTGCACACTAGTCACTAGACCGATCGAACACGCATCGGCTGCGCCCTCAGGTCACCAGCAGGTCACCACTCTGGAGACTCTGGAGACCTGCATGCGTTTGTTGGGAGACCTGGTGCTTCAGCTCATCGAACTCCACCGGCCTTGGGGCGCTAGGTCTCCAAGGTCCCAAGCAGTTCCGGATCTTGGGGCGATACCATGAGTGGATGTGACAGGGGTACCCCCCCTCCAAGTGCACCCAACTCCGTGGAACTTCTGGTAGGAATAAACAAAGGTCCCGACCTTCGTACCTACCTGGACCATCTTGTCTGGGTGTCCGATGGACATCTTTAAGTCTCTAAGTAGTGTAAGGTAGTCGGTGACCCATTGGATTGTCCTGGTATATATAGATCACCCAGATCGTCCCACAGTGCAAAATCTGTGCCCTGTGTGATCTCTACAACCAGCCAAGTTCGGCAGAAATGTTACGTCGTTGGAAGAATTTGATCAAATAAGAATGCCGAATGCCATCCTGGAGTGACAAGACAGGGTGCCGAACGAACGGAGGGTGCCGTCGTGGTGCCCCTGTCACATCCACTCACTGGATGGGACGAGCCACACCACCCCCTTCAGAACTGCTTTCGGGATTCTTGTAGGGTTTCCATCCTTCGGCCTTGAGCCCGAAGGATGGGAACCCCACAAACAGCGACCTCTTTGTTCTTCCTCCGACCCACCAAGGTCTTCCAAATAAAGAACCATGGTTTTGGAGCCCCTCCCTTCAGGTGTTGCTTTTGGACCTCAGAGTTCATGGAGCTTGGAAGTGCGGATTCGGAGCCTTCCAGGAAAACCATGTGCCACAGATTCCCCAGGTCTGGGGATCCCGGAAACCCGAACATCGCCTTAAGCAATGCCCAGGAGAGTCAGACTGAAACAAAACCACGTCATCAGGTTTTCAGGATCAGCTTTGATTGGGACTGAACCTTAATGGCCCCACTTTGAGAGGAAACAACAGGTGTGTCTGTGTGTGTAGTGGGCCTCTTCCGTTCACCTTCCACTTGGACCCTTTACAAATTTGCTTGAGCTGGTCTTGTAGTCTTAGTCTCCCTGGCAAAACCGTGGTGGTTCTTTCGATTCAACCCATTGGATCGTCCATGCTGGGCGACCGGAATCCTATGGATCTGAACAGGTTTTGAAGTCTGTCCTGAGCTCAAACAATCCATGGATATCAGTTTTATGTCGGTGAAGTCCATACCCAGACACTCGGGACTGGAAGAGCTACTCACATTGGATGAAAGCATCCAATCAGACGCCCTTTTTGGAACTTCTGGTCGGACATTCTGGTCGCCCAGCTCTATCCGTGGTCTCCCAGGGGTCGTCCTTCAGGGTCGTGTCGCGCCCGCGCCCGCACGGGGTTGCGGAGGTCACGCCTGCTCGGCAGCCCTCAAGGCTTCCCCGGGCTCCTCCTAGCCGGATGTGTGGCAGCACTAGTGGTTTCAGGGATCGAATCGGAGTGCAGTTCGAGTCTAATGAGTCTAATGAGAATGTACTAGACTAGCTTGGAGGCCATCGCTGGTAGGTTGGAGGCCATTGCTAGTAGGTTGGAGGAGAGCTTCGATCTAGACATGAACTGTATCCTGTCTGTGTACATTTGGCATCCTGACGAAGATCTCAGAGCAGAACGGTACCCACATAGCCAATTCATGCAATGCTTGGAGATGCGTAGAATCCCATGTCTGAGATCAAGAAGAACAGCCTCTTCCAGCAACCCCCCAAGAGGTGTCTACCAGGTTCCTCACTGCCAGGTCACCACTAACCTTTCTCAAGCTGGTCCACCGTCCATCGTCCACCGTTCTCACACCTCCGACTGCACAAAGATCCAATTGAGGAGAGGATCTGTTTGATGTGGGGGGCTGAACTGGTTCCTGCTCCTCCTTGGAGAACCAACGAAAAATCCTGCAGGCGATCTTCGGTTGTGTTTTGCGCCGTCGAACCTGAGAATGCCCATCCGTGCATTCGTCGTCCCAATCCGTCTCTACCTGGACCTTCAAGAGGTGTTTTGTGCAGATCCCTGCACCGTCCAGCCAGACCTCGAACAAATACGGTTTCCTCTCCTCCGTCCCTCAGCGTTCCCTACGACGAACGTGACCGTTCCCAAGGCGTTCCGCACCGGCCTTCTCGAGGCGAATTTGCGCCAGGAGCTTCAAGGTCTTGGCTTCACCCTTTCGATCGTTCGCCGCCTCCACCACGAGACGAGGAGGGCGGAACGAGTCGCACGGAAGGGCACGGAAGGGCCAGGAACGGAGGGGTGATGAGTTGGCCAGGGTTGCTGACTCCCTTTGCACTCATGTTGAGACTCCGAAGTCATGATCCAGACATAGGCCCAGACGCAACCCTGGACCCTCCCAAGTAGGGGCCTCATATGGAGGGGATCCGGACCCTCAAATCCCTATCTTTTGAAGGACGGGCTGTTTGGAGAGTCTGGGGAGATAAAAAGCTGGGTCAGTCTTAATTGTTTCGTCATTTGTACTCTCAGGGACGTGAAATCACGCCCGAACATCGTCACATACCTCAAGGTCGACGCACGGTCCCGCTTTCGCGGGGAGGCGATCCGATACACGAAAAGACACGGCCGGTGTACCTGGGCCCATGAAACAGGTGCTACTTTCATTGGCCCCCTAGGATTCATGGCCAACCATCGTTTTGATGGTCTGAATCCCAAAGAACCAGCTGCTTTACTAAGGATTTCTATAGATTTTTATGCTACACCACCAGGCTCAGGTCAACCATTCTTTTTGAGGGTCTTTGAAGGTTAGGGTTGCGTGTCGCACTAGCTCGACCAAGTGTCGTACGAGTCGATTGAGAGACCATCAAAACAGCTCGGGCTACACAGCTTTTTTTCAGAAATCCAGCGCGATTCACTGATCAAATACATTCAAATATAATATCAAACAATACATAAATATACATACTCTAGCTTCTTCTGAAGTAGGCTTTTGAGGGTCCCCAAGTGACCTTTTCCAGGCCTATCACCTTGGTCACCTGGGGTCTTTGCATCCCGTCGGTCCGTCCAAACGTCGACCGGCCGAGAAAGGTCTCTGACAAAGCCCAGACACGACTGATCGGACTGCCATAGGACTGCCGCCCCAGAAAGACCCCCTTTCAACACCACCCCAACTGATGGGCATAGCACACATGGAGTGTCTGGGAAGGAACTTGACATGTTCAATCATGAACATTGATACCTAAGAAGGCAGACGAGCAAATAACGGCTCTGGGCCGTGGGCGGCCCAAAATCTCAAATGGGAAAGGTTTGGCTCGGGTCCGTTCGGGCCTGAGCCTCTGCTAAATCCTCAGAGTCCAGTCACGACTCAATTTGTCACTTAACTTATAGTGGTGGATGATGACTTGGGGAAGTCAGTGAGTCAAAAAGAGTCGGCAATATATCCATCGCGCAGGGACAACATCGCCCCACGGCCATAGGAAGCAACCCGAGAAAGCAATATTGAAAGCAACGAAAAGGAATAGAGTCTTAATATGATTCTTATAGTTGGTTTCTGGATCGGGACGGTATTCCCTCGCATTGTGCAGAGGAAGAATAATGCCACAACCCTTGGTCCCTCAAAACCGGGGATTGGTGAGAAACCCCAAAGACCCGAGTCCAGACCAACCGCGAGCGACCGGTTCCCTCCCGCAACTCGCCATGGAACGGAAAGGATCCAATGGGCTTATACGAGCACCCGACTCTACAGGTGTTTCCCGGTGACAACAGGTGTCCAGAAACCTGTGGTCGGGTCTCCAAACAGCCTGGCCAGGAGGGTCCTGGTAGAGCCTTCCAAGAACCACGAGTCTAAAATCCTTACCCTGACGCGAAGTCTGGACCCTCTGTTCAGCACGGGCCGTACCTCATATGGAGGGGTGTTTGGACCTTCTCACCAATCCCAGTTTGGAGGGACCGGGAGGTCAGCCTGCGAACTCTTGGAGCGTCTGGTTCGGAAAACCATGGCTGCTTGGTAGTCTAGGGCTCCAACCATATCCTCAGATGGTGGTTAGACCCCCCAAACCCACCCCAACCACCTTCGAAACGGAGATAGTTGGAGCCCTAGGGGTAGATCAACCTTAATTCCAATCCTTCAGCAGCTGATCCTGCTGGCGCGGCTGGTGGAGTTGTTTTTTGGGCTCGCGGAGCGTCTGATCCCAGTGCAGTTCCCAGAGCGACCTCGATGTTCCAGGCATCGATCCAAACCTCATGGATTCCAATTGTAGGATAGTTACTGAATATGTATCATAAACAATGCCGATAACATATACCAGGACCTTCCGTTGGCGATTTACAAACACCTCTTGGATGGTCCTGCCCAAACGCGACCCTGGACCCTCATATGGA